AAAACCCATAATATAAAAAAATACCAAAAATTAAAAATAATTGATAACTTTGAAGACAATTTTGCATGTTGTAGCAAATCATGACGTCTGGGAGTTTTTTCAATATTTTATTTGTTTTCAGCACACCAAAATACATGGAAATTAGATTAAAATAATCAAAAAGCTTTTTTGTGTGAAATCAAAAATGACATGCAAATAATGAACCCGAACAGCAATGTTAACCTTTTTTAAAAAATGAAATAGAAGATATTTACTGGAGTTACTTCACAGAAATTATAAATGAATTTGGATAAGATGATAAGAATGTCTTGAAAGAGGCAAAGAAACTAGGAAAAAGCAATTGAGTTTGAGTTTATCCTTTGGATTTAAGAATGGCTGTGAGAAAGAAGGGGGAAACTACAAAACTGGTTCATTTGACAATGGCCTTATGTCGGATGGCATTCATTTATAAGCTCCTGTGGGAGGTAGAGAACCAAAGTAAAGACAAGACATCTACCTGGTAGAACTTGGTGCACCAGAGGGTGGCCATCCATTCATATAAATAATGTAATTGAATGGAACAGATAGTACTTAATTTACTCAAGTAATTCAAATGGTGACCATTACAAAGCCGATCTTTCAAAAAGTGGAAAGTGCATGTGGCTATAGGCTCCAAAAGGTCTTAGACATGAGGCTCCATGTTGGAATTGGAGGAGTGGTATATCTAGATCAGTGCTTTCAATCTTTCAAAAAATGCCTCAGCAACAGGTCAGAAAAATAGAAATTGCTATTTTTATTCTTATCCTACCTTTTTTTCCATGTACAACTCAAGGAATATATAAACATAGATGCAAATATATCAATACACCTATTTTCTCCACAACAAGAATCCTATGAGGTGGAATGATCTGAGGGAGAGGAACTGGTCCAAAGTCACCCAGTGGTTTTTTTATAACTAAGGCAGGACTAGAACCAGTGGTGGGATTCAGCCAGTTTGCACCACTTCGCCAGAACTAGTTGTTAACTTTCTGAGCAGTTTGGTGAACTGGTTGTTGGAAGAAATCATTAGGGCAGAGAACCGGTTGTTATATTATTTGAATCCCACCACTGACTAGAACCCATCTTTTCCTGGTTTTATGTCTTTATACAAGTGGCTGCAATGATTTTGGCAAGAGTACTGGGGTGAATCTGGACCTTGATTGCTTTTTTCACAGAGAAGGCCCCTATGAATTTATTATTCTTCCCGGACTGGAAGGTAGGGTTATTGGTAAGCACCGGAGAGAAGGTTTCTGCCACATGAAATAAACCAAATGACCTTTGGAGCAGAGGTGGGTTTCAAATCCCGGTGCTACTGGTTCACTCATGCTTGTGCATGCGCGATGCTTCTGCGCATGCACAGAAGTCTCCGGGTGGGTGGGTGGAGCCTCCCGCCACTACCACTACCGGTTCGGCTGATCTGGGCTGAACCAGGAGCAACCCACCTGCGCTTTGGAGTAAGAAAGCTTGTTTTCTGCAATGGGCCTAGAAGCAGGTGATCTTCATTTATTGGGATCTGCTTTCTGAGAAAAAAGATCAGGCTAAACAAGAAAGTAGCAAAAAAACCCTCAACAACTCGAAGAACAGATTGTGTCACTAAAGGAAAATTGAAGAGATAATAGGATGCATGTCCAGGATATTCAGTGATGGAAAACAGGCTCCCATCAAAATTAAAGTTCTGGAGGCTGTAATGTTCCGATGCAGGACACCGGAAGTGCACCGCCCAGAACCCACCACTGGAGGGAGTGCTGAGAAGTTTATCACCTGCTTGGTTGGCTAATGCGACCTGTGATACAAAGGGTGGGGGGTGTGGACAGTATCTATTCTTTAAATATAGCAAAAATGTGGGAATTATTCAGTGTTGGTTTCAAATTTGACTGTGCCGACATGATGTACACAATAAACAGGAGTTTTGAGGAAGCCAAGGCCTTGGAGTCTTCAGTTAGGAGCATTACGTGGAACCAGGACAACTGCATTCTGAGTGTCTCCCTTTCACCCAGGTTGCAAGCCCTTGCTGCCTCCTGTGTGATGCCCAAGGGGCAGGGCCCAGGCAGTGGGGCAGCCCTCCACTGGCTCCAGGGTGGTCATGCAGATCAGATCAACCAAGTTGCCTCTCCTTCCTTCCTTCCTCTTTCCCTCCCTCCTTCTCATTTCCATCTCCTTCTTGCCTTCCTTCCTTCCTCCCTCCTTCCCTCCTTCCCTCCTTCCCTCCCTCCTTCTCATTCCCATCACCTTCCTTCCTCCATGCTCAGGAAGGGACGAGGGGAGGGACAGAGGCTGGCAGTGCTGCAGGGGTGGGTGGAAGAGAAACCTCACTGGCTGCGATGCCTCTTGGGCCGTGGAGGAACTGGGGGCAGGTGCAGCACTGGTCTGCAGCCACGGTAGCCGTCAAAGCTTTGTTCACAGTCCAAGTTAACACTGGTATTCCTGAACTGTGGGCTTTTCTTTGTGTGTGGCAAAGAACCATTTCCGGTGGGGAAAACAGGACAAAGCAGAGCGGAGGAAAATATTTTCCTTTGTTACATTCCCAGTTGGGATGAGACGGTGGCCGGGTCCTTACAGGAGAGCCCTTTCAAGGGTTATGTATTAATAGAAAAGCAGCCAACTTACCTCTGTTCCTAAAGACTAACGCTCTTGCACATAAGAAACAGAGGAGCTCTGATCAACTATCACAACCACCATTTGAACAGTTTTGCTGTACCGTTGTGGCTGTGGCTACACTAAATGCAGGCGCGAGATAAACTGCCGTAATGGAATTTCATATTACAACTAATCTCATGCCATCATTACTTTGAAAATTTAAAGATGGATAATGATGAAGAAAAATGTGCATCATCTGAGGACTTCCTTTCCATGGCCTCATATTTTTGGCATTTACAAAACTAGAACAAACATTTCTTAAAACATGTAAGGAATAAAAAGAATAGGTTCATCATTATAATGCCTATCAACAATTACTTACAGTTTGTTTGGGGTTCTGGAGGAAATTGGATTCGAATGACAACCATAAGAATGAATGAAAATACAGGCAAAAAAATTAATGTGAAAGACCAAAGCTGTGAAAAAAAGAACAAACCATATTCAAGTTTGATATATTTGGAAAATTTTAACAATAGCAATCATACAAAAAGAACATCTACTTAACAAGAAGTATAAAGTCATAAAGGTAGGAAAAATTAACAAAAAGCCAGTTTTCATTTTAGCATAAAGAACAAACTTTGTTATGGAAGGTCCCAATGTTTGCTAATTAGGAAAAATTGGTCCTGAAAACCCTGCCAGAAAAGGCAGACTCATCGCATGAGTTATTATGGGGCAATGATTTTACGACATAGTTAGAGAAGCAAGGGTGGACAGTGGCTTCCTTGTTTCCTTCCTTGGAAAAGGTAATGATCAGGTGATTGTTTGGAATGCAGGGGGGGGGGAACCCTTCAAAACTTCATATATGGAAAATACCAAGAATCAGCCTTGATGGAATATAGAACAAAAATATTCTAGTTAAAAATGATAAATAAACGGCTCTTACATGAAGAATTGGCACCACAAAAGAGAGAGAATTCAACACAGAGAAGGTTAAAAAATAAATGACTGTAATCCATCAGGATCTTTGCTACAGTACATAAAATATAATGTATACAACTAAAGGCTGCTACCTTTAATAAGTTACTTGTTGCATAAATGCTTCCTTGTGCAGATTCTAATTTAAAATAAACCAGCCTTTCCCAATTTAGTGCCGGGACTAAAACTTCTAGAATTTCCAGCCAGTATAACATGTTTTAATAGTCATATTGACATATTTTCTTTGTTTTCTTTTTCCTTGTTTTATCGTTCTATTATTTTCACTTTGTTTAAAGTTCCTTTCTATTTCTTAATTTTTTTAATGACTGAGAACTGCCTACAATAGCCCATGGCAAGGCAGGCAGCAAATAAATGTAATAATAATAATATAATCCACATCTACCTATGCCAGGTCCTTGAAAGGATTCAATAGGTAGAAAAATGTCAAATCCAGCGTGAATATTTGGGTGACTGTGCAATGAACCATCATGGATATAGATGAGCATCCTCTAATTAGTGAAATAGCAAAATACTCTTTGCTGTAAGTTGCCAACATTTGAGGTGTGTGATTAAAGATATAAGCAGCTCAGTAGAAATATTATATTGAAATAATAAGTTTATTTACTATTCCATCAAAACAAAAATGGAAAAAAATTAGCAATGGAGAAAAGATTCTAACCCAAATGTTTCTTGCTGAGCTGACTTTCTGCTTGGTTAACATAACGTTTTAAAATACTCCCTCACTTCACCTATAGATGCCAGCCAATGTAGCACATTTGAACAAGAATTTTTTTTTAATATTTCCACAAATACAGCAGCAGCTTGGGTTGATCAAGTAAGAACTCATAGGTACATATATCTATAAAATATACAGTTATGACTCCTATTCATTGATCAGACATGGAACAGACCCACATTTGCAATCAAATTTCACTAAAGAAAATATTTTTCACCCTCATCGTTTTCAAAAAGTGTATTTTCCTTAAATAATATTCTCCCCAGATTCCCTGGGACTTAACGTCCTCTTGTTTTTTTGTTAAATTTCTGTACTTACCGGCTGCCTTTTGACACTCAGCCAGTTCTTCCATAGCAACACCCACAGGTGTCGGAAGAGCGTAGCCATCCTCCGAAGAGCTTTGGCAAAAGAAGAAAGTTCTCGTCTCCTCTCTGATCCAGGATTAGGTTGCCCAAAACGTGATAAAGGTTTGTATTGCTTTGCCTATGCGCTTTGGCTATACGGTCCAGATGGCCGGCTCAGCTCTTCGTCTCTGCTCTGTGCACATCATTGACTGTCCTATTGCACATGCAAGAGGTTGAGTCACCCAATGAGAACCAGAGAGTGCTTAATTATAATACTATCCTCCTCTCTCAGCTTTCTTCAGTCCTGGTGTGATAAGGCTGGTGTCATTCCAAGAAGATGCTTCTGCTGAAATTAAAGAAACACACCTTTTCTCCCACCAGGCACTCCCTACCACCTACATATGTAGCCTACAGAAGAATTGACAAAGAAGCTAGCAACCAAGTGGCTTACCAAGCCAGTAGGACCTGTTTTATTTCTTTTTCCTGATTTAATTCACACAAATTGGCTGGGAGTAACAGAAAGTAGGTACATTGCAGGCATTCGTTGTACTCCATTTAAATAAAATTAATGTTAATGTTTGTCTAAAGCAAAAGACAGGACATTATTTTCCATGAGAGCATTAAAAAAAATTCTAGACCGTACATGAGCTCATGATAAATGGTTTAGATTGATGCATAATGCGTAAATTAACATTATGTCACACATCGGGTCTTTTCTCGCTGTAAGTTTAAATATATTCCACCCTTGAGCTGGCATAAAATTATATCAGCCTGGAATTTACTCTGCCAATGGCTAATTTCTGTCCTGCCTCCCGTGTCTCTCTTTCAAGTCATTGAAAATACATCCCTTTATTCCAAATTGAAAGCCTGAGCAAGATTGTATTACTACTATCCTTCTCTTCTTTCCTATTACCTATTCCTATATCACTTTGTTGGTTGTATCTGATGATTTATGATTATATCTGATGATTTAAGATTTATCACTTTGTTGCTTGTATACTGAGAGCTTAGGCACTGGAGACAAATTCCTTGTGTGTCCGATCACACTTGGCCAATAGGGAATATTCTATTCTATTCATCTGGAATCTGCCTTTGGACATTGTCAGAAAATATTGCACTAAGGAGAGACTTAATCCAGTTTCTTTCATTAGCTGGGGATGAGGTAAAGGCAGAAACAATATAGGGTTTTGTTCTGTTGTTAGATGTGACTAAGGAAAAGTGTTTGTCCATAACTTTATGCTGCTGTTAGATGTAATTGAGGAAAGGCCTAGAATTAGGTCTTAAATCAAATGAATTGTGATCCTGTTAGAAATCATAAATAAAGTTCTGGGGAGATAATTACCTCCCAATATAATAGAACATTGAACATAACAAAAAATGAAACCTACCTTCAAAACTATACACATCAGCACACAATATTGTTATGAATTAGGAGAGTTACATGAGCGCCGTCCTTGTGAGAAAAAGCTAGTGGGAAACTACTCCAGTTTGGCAGAATCAAGATGGGCTGTGAGTTTAGGGGAAGCGAGGAATGGAAATATGTGCAAAAAACGGTGTAACACAAATGTGGGGCCAGCTGTCAGCTCGCAACGTTATGCGGACGGGCGGTCTGGGAAACAGAACTGATTTCCAGCTGTCCTGAAGCCAAAGTTGCCCTGGAGGGGATCCTTGCGAGGAAGGCAGCTGATTGACAGAGTTTGGGTGGCAGTACGGACCGGGAGGGGGGGGGGCTGGGACTTTCAAGGAGAATGGACGGGGAAGAAGGCAGCCTCCAATGGGCGAACCGCAGAGCAGACACTTGGACCAAGATAGCGGTGGGAAAAGCGGGACGTTGGTGAACCGGATTTGGTGGAAAAGATGCTTCTAAAGAGCGAGAAGAATGGGAGGAAAGTGAATTGATGTCCCTGGTTGGCTTTAGAGAAGAAACGACTCCTAACAGAAGCCGGGTGGAAAGGGGTAGAGAAATGGCAAAGAACATCATGGAGCTTTATTAAAACCTTAAGACCTAAGGCAGGAGAAGAGAGGCAGCAGAGGCTAAGCAGAAAGGGTGGGCTTGGAGCTGGGGGAGATTTTTGTGGATTGCTAGTGAAACTGGAAAAGGTCGGAGAAACGTACAGGGGGAAATGTCTCTCCTCCTCCTCTTCGTCTTCTTGGGACAAAGCATTTCCTGTGCTAGAATCCAGACAAGGCTTTAGGGCTCCAGTGAGACACCTACTGGCCAAGGAAGGTATATACATGTAAGTTGGGCATTTTGAAGAAAGGAAGATGTGTGATGTTTAATAAATTTATAGGCCGCCCAATCCCGAAGGACTCCGGAAGCCCTTTTAAGTGACATCATTTGTGCCTGTGGAATTGCAGATCTAGGAACTTTGGTGAAGTGAGAATTTTACAGAGCTCTGGTGGCGGACAAATAGTAATAATGAGACACATTGGTGGTATGAATACATTGAGCCGTATGTTGAACATTTGACCAAAACAGAAGGCAACGTTAGAAAATTATTGAACTGAACTTTAATAATTGCCTGTAAGTTATTGGAATCCAGAAGTTATCATCAATGCCACTGCCACTATCAGAGGTATCTGTCAGGCATGCCTCCTTCAATATCCAAGAAAGGAAAACCTCAACTCCATTTAAATAGAGATAGAGTATTTTTACTAGATGTGAATTGAAAGCAGCAAAAAGGAAAGCAAGATCTGAGCCAGAAAGGCGGGAACATGTGGATAGCAAACGTTTCCCCAGCACCCTCCCCCCCAATCCCCCAACCCAGTGTCCAATCTGCAGCTCCCTATCCTGTGTCATGTGGGGTGCATCTTCAAACAGCCTCATCAAGTTGGTATGTGAGACGGTTGGCCTTGACCAAGTCCAAACATCAGCCACCAGCAGGCACAGAAGATGGTGAGAACAGGGCTCCTCCAGTACAATATCATTCCCTTCCCCAACACCATCCCCCTCCCCGGTTCCTATGGCAGCCGATAGCAAGCAAGCGTAGCAGAGGCTGACAGTATCTTTGAGATACCACTGTGACTTTTGTAACTATTGTAAACTTCATAGGATTGTATTTATTTGTAGTTACTAAGTTGAGCGGTATTATTCTTATGTATATTGACAACAGTATATATATGGTGCTAGGTAAATAAGTTAAATAATGTCAGGTTAGGTCTAAACAAACAGAACAATTTTTATATCTAACGACTAATATTAACAATTTAAGTAATGAGTAGTAGATGGCTCTACTGGTAGGAAAAAGTGGGGGGAGGGTTGGTTGGAGTCCAAATTTGCAGAAAATTTTCTAAAGATGACAAGTACTATGAATTTAAATAAAGTAGGGATAAGGAGGAAGCAAATAGCCCAGATGTCATCAGCTTCTTCCAGCCCATCAATGCAGAGATCGATGAAGGAGAGAACACCCAAAACTTCTGGAGGCAAACCGTTCCTCTGATTAATTGTTCTTCACTGTCACAGAATTTCTCCTTAATTTTGGATTTGTTTAAGATTGTTTTATGTTTAAGATTGTCATAAAACAATCTTAAACAAAGAGGAAGACATTTATAAATGTGGTAAAGGTAAAATATTGTGACTAATATGGAACAATCAGAAGACTCCTTCTTTACGTGATCAAATGACAATGGACTTATTATCCAGCAGTATAAATAGCTGACCTGCAACTTGACTGCCCATTTCTCTTTCTTCCTTGTCAAAATGACACTCTCACTTATTGTGTTTTGAGAGTTGTTCTTTTTCTGACTCAGTAAATCAAGAAGAGGAAGCTTGCATATATAAGTAGCAACTAAATATTAGTAATGGGACAAGAAATAGCAGACCAAAGAGAAAAAGTGTTTACATGGCATGACATGATATATGCTATTTTAATCCTACAACAGATGAGCTGGCCTTTCCCTAACTTGGGCATCTCCACCCGAGTGAACAAAGTCCCAGAATTCTCAGAAATGGCCCTCCTGGGGGATTCTGGGAATTGAAATCCACATATTGAAAAAGAGCCCAGCTTGGGTAATGTTGTATTAAGAAACACTAAAGTTAGATTAGCAGAATATTTGAGTCACTTATAGCACTAAGATTGTGGTTAAAAGAAAGTTGAATTGTGGTTAAGACTGTTTACATTAATTATAATTTAGAACTGTGTGTAAAATGTAAGCATTTCCTCGTGGCTTCCGATGCCTATCTGTAGTGGCAAATGAAGCTGGCTGCCCCCCTGCCATTGGCCCATCTAGTTGGCAAAAAGCTATGGGGTTTTTCAGTTTCCTTGCATTAATCCTCAACTTCCTTACCAGGGTTGGGCTGATCAAACAGCGGGTGCACCCCGAGTCCACTAAAGCAGAGATTTTCACCCCCCTCTCCCAGTTGGGGATAAACAGTCTTAGGGGAAGTATAAGCCGTTTAATTGGTTTGCTTACCAGTGGTTCATCCTCTGGATCGCTTCCAGATGAGTATGGTTCCTCCTGCTGCGAAGCCGGGGTTTCCTCCTCAAAGAGGGGAGGGGGTGGAGATTCCACGGTCTCCCTACTCCTCAGGGCCGTCTCCTTTCCGCACTGGCCAGGTTTCATAAGCTTTCCCCGTCCAATGGGCGGTCCGGCTTCTTAGCCAGTGCCTGAGAATGGCATTCTGCAGCTCGGTGCCCCTTTTTTCCACGCTTGAAACAGGCTAAGGATTTAGTGTGATTTTTCATCATTTTGTATTATGCCTAGTTACAGGAAAACCAAGGATATCAATGGCTTCTGGCCTCAATCACTGTCTCCTTCTGCATATGAGTCTGGTGGGGGGAAAAAGTCAGTTAATCAGCAGTGCAAGAATCAAAGAATTGAAGGATTGGAAGAATCCTGTAGATCATCTAGGGGTCAGGGGTCCTCTCTGGAGCCACACGTGGCTTTTTCATCCCTCTGCTCCCTGTCGCCGGTCAGTGCCACAATTGACAGGGCTTTCAGTTAGGACAGGTAGAGGAAAAGGGATGCCACACTAGGAGGAGATTTTATGATGGGGGGACTGGGCTTCCGGTCAGCTCCAGAATTGAATGGTGGGCTTCTGTTTAGAACCTTTGTGGCTCTTTGAGTGTTTAAGGTAGCTGACCCCTGGTCTAGTTTAACCCTTCCCCACCACCACCACCGCTATAACAACATCTGACCATCCAGCCTCTGTTTAACACCTCCTGATCCCACCCTTTCCTGAAACGTGTCTTGCTACGGTTAATTAGAAGCGGTAAGAATGGCTGGGATGCTGGCTGCAACAGGATAAGATGGGAATGAGATGGTACAATTCTGATATATACAAGAGGGATTTCATCACTTGGAAATGCAAGGGAGGATCACAGTTTGGATGCATTCCTGAATATGAAAAGTTATGCATAATTA